AGTCTAAAATGATTCTGGTGCTTAGGTTTGCCATCTAAAGAGTCATAAATGATTCTGGGGCCCAGGATCGTCGTGCAAGATGCCTAAAATGATTGTAGACGCTAGATTTGTCATCTGAAGTGTCCAAAATGATTCTGAGGTCTAGGATCATCACCTATGGAGTTTAAAATGATTATGGAAACTAGGCTTGTCATCTATAGAGTTCAAAATGATTCTGGGGTCTAGGATCATCATCTATGAAGTATAAAATGATTATGGAAACTAGATTTGTCATCTGAAGAGTCCAAAATGGTTCTAGAGTCTAGGGTCGTCACCCAAGGAGCTTAAAATGATCGCAAATACTCGGCTTGTCATCTAAAAAGCCTAAAATAATTCCAGGCTCTAGGTACGTCATTTAAAGAATTTGAAATGATTTCCAAACACTGGGAGGCATCGTCTGAAAAGCCTCAAATGATTATAGACAGTAAGCACGTGATCTAAAGAGCCTAAAATGATTCTGAAGCCCAGGACAATCATCCAAGTAGTCTAAAATGATTCTGGATTCTAAGCTCATCACTCGAAAAGTCTAGGATAGTAGTCTAAAATGATTCTGTATACTAAGCTTATCACTCGAAAAGTCTAGGATAATTCTAGAGGCCACTTTATCTTCGCCATTCAAATCATAGACAGGAACTGAGATCTTGAGTGATTAGTCACGGATGCTCTGATCGAGAGCAACACATTTTCCACCGATATGGATCCCTATTGGACTGCATCCACGTCTTGTTACTTCGCTCGTTGCCTGCAGAATGTCTGGCTGCCGGGAATCTGTGGAGGAAGATACACCCACGCGTTCCGCACCGCCTCGCTACACGCGGTCGTCTGACCAATTACCAGTCCATTCTACTCGGCACGACGTTCTACAGTGAAATAAGCACTTCACTTGTCAGGCCAGAAACAAGCGCACAGTGGTCCGGATTAGTAAAACAGGTGGAATTAATCCGAAAATTTTCTTGTTATAGAATAAGTTCAAATCGCGTTTCACCTGATTGCATTTGTTTTAGAAATATATGAGGCAATATATCAGTTAGTCTTTGTCATGCCAAGATCTGTTTTCAACCGAACATTTTTTTTCAATCAGATAAAAAATTGATTCTTATAACATTCATCTATAACACAAGTATCTGCCTGCAATCTTTTAACAATTTTTGGATTTTCACTTCTTGTCAAAGTCGCGACTAATTACACTGTCACAGGAAAAGTTGTTCGATTCTCTTTTGTATCGGGCTATATTAAAAATGTTGTAACTTTTTTGGGAAACGTTGGTATATCAAAATTTCTTCAGTGTCGCGTTCAGTAAACACTATATATGTTATTCAGCCTGAATTTAGCTGCAGCTGTTTGCAGCTACGTTCGTATGACGATTTTTTGTTCCAACTATTTCTTTTCTTAGTTCTGTTCGATCTGCATTTGAGCATACTGTTTTGAATGGATCAAAAATCTTTCTCAGTTTTATCTATGTAAAAATACCAAAATATATTTTTATATGTATAATATATACATAAAAAATACGTATAAAAATATATATATATATATTTTTTTGAGAAAGTTATTATTATATATATATTTAATTATTATATTTATATTATTATGTTCTATTCTATTCTATTCTATTTAATTACTATATTATCATATTTAGTTATTATTATTATATATTTTAAATATGAATTAAAATATATATATAATAATATATATATTAAAATACATATAAAAATACGTGGAAAAATATAAATAAGTACACAAGTAGAATAAAATATGTAAACGTGAACAGGTATACTAATTAAAATCAATTTTTCTACGACACGTCCACACATTCATTCATTCATTACAATTATAATTCCACCTGTTTTCTGAAACCGGACCTTCCATTTAATTATTTTCATGTAAAATTAATCTTTGTTGAAATTTTATGGTTTTTGCCATAAATCATACGACAAGAGTTTCGAAAGCGTAACGCGTTGCCACCGGACTTTTTTCGGAAGTTTTTATTCGTGTTTTTCACTTTTTCGTCGGAAACGCGGAGATCTGAAACGTTGGATCGTTCACGATCGAGGTGAGGTATGCTCGTGTGAGCATCGAGGCTCGAAATATCACCTAGTTACAGCAGATCGTATAGTTCTTGAAGATGTATCTACACTTTCTAGCTGTTTTCTAAAAGATTCTTCTCTCTTTCCACGAGAACGTGGAAACCGCGGATCGTTGACGCAACGTTTGAAAACGCCGAGCGACTATTCTTTTACTTTTCAACGGACAAAGCACTGCAACGTATCTGCGAATGTATCGCCGTTTCCACCGCGAGTCCCGCGCGTGCTTTTAGTCACGCCTTAGGAGGACACAAATTGTACGGCCCATATCCTGTAGGGAGACATTCCGAACCAGACGCTGCACAGTGGTCTGGGAATTCGTTTTCTTTTACTGAAATTATTTTAACGTTGTTCCAAAGTTCAAGCTTGTAATATAGCATGTCGTTGAATTCGTCTCGACGCCAGCTAGAATATTATCGAGTCGAAAATATATATATAAAACTTTAAAAAAAGCAATTTTTTAAATAAAAAATTCTGGACACCTTAATTTTTTAAATATTACATATATATATTATATATATATATATATATATATATATATATATATAATACATTATATTATATATATATTTTATTATATATATTATATATAATAATTATTATTATATATATAATATTTAAAAAATCAAGGTGACCAGCATTTTTTATTAAAAAAATTGCTTTTTTTAAAGTTTTTGTATTCTAATATGTGGAGAAGCGAATATTGACCAACTTTCGTTGGAAACATTTTCTTGCCAGATCATTGAATATATCTGAAACGTCGTGGTTTGGAACGCCTAATTTCTGGCCAAAATTAAATAGTCTCTACGATCGAAACGTATTCAAGAAAATCGTATTCTTATGGACTTTGATAGGTAATTTGTGGTCTTTTACATTGAAAATAAATTGTTTCGACAACTATTTTGTATTTAAATGTAAGAGATCTCTGATTAAATGATATAATGCTTAATAAACAATCTGAACATATTACAATGTATTATAAATCTAACAAAGAATTGTTCAAATTGTCCGGATTATTCCAATAAAAAATGATTCAAATAATGAATTATTTCGAATTATTTCGATTTTAATAATTATTCGAATAATTATTCGAATACTTATTCGAATTTGAAATCGGCATGTCGAAATCTACGAGAAATGATGTATAAAATGTGACAAAAAAGTCCAAACGTTTATGACATTGGATAAATCACAATTTCCTTGGAATACATCAAGTTCAACGAAGATGTTCAAGGTCGAAGAACGTCCACACCACATTCTCTTCATTTTTCCCTTATTCTACAACATTTCAGCTTCAAAGTAAAAAAAGCCGCATCGCTTTATCTCGTTCCTATCAAAAGTTCATCGATTTTGTCACAATTCTTCCAATTCAGCTCCACTGTGCGTTGCAGTGGGGCTAAATTGTCCAAACAGCCGGCCAAAATACGACGTTTTGTTGTCTCTTTTTCCAGACACTTTTCGAACTGGTGTACATTTTAGTTCTTTTTTACAGTAGTTTACAGCTTTTTTTGTTTACGTGTTTTTAAGATTATTCAAATTCGAAAATGCTCCTAATTGTTTCTAGCTTTTTTCACCATTTTCTATAATTTTTAATACAGTAATTTCTCCCTAATTCGTGCTCAGATTGCGCACAAAAATGGACACTTTGGGAAGAGGAGACACGATTATTTGAGACTTGTGGCACGTTTTTATAGTTGTTGATAATCGGTAACTATAATACTAATGCT